AAACTTGAGACCGACGTGGCAGCGTCGCATACGCATGACCTGCAAGCATAAAGATTGAACAGTCTCGTGCGGGACCTAGCTTCCAGAAGTAACCTGGAGGTCCCACAGATGGCACTCGAACGTGCCAGTCAGCGGGCGTTGTCACCCACAGTAATTGGTAGTCCACTGAGAGTAATTCACCCAAATGCTGTGCACCTGTAGAGGTCATAACCTCTGCGCGTGTGATTCGATCGCACATGTATCCTCGAGCTCGGACTTCAGCGCAAGCTGATCGTATGCCTTCGATAACAAGTGCACGAGAATGATAATGATACCGATGCATTTTGACATTGCCACATCAACTGAGAGGTGCATTTGCAGGCTTGTGCGAGATAATTGGACTCTTTCAAAGACGCAGGCGAGCACAAGCCACTGAGACTTCAAAACTCGGGAGGGAAGGGGGGGAGACTAGAACCAAAAAGGCTACACTACAGAGCAATATAGAATGCGGACTCAACTGGGAGCAAGCTCTGGAGATGAGACCGATGCATTTTGACATTGCCACATCAACTGAGAGGTGCATTTGCAGGCTTGTGCGAGATAATTGGACTCTTTCAAAGATGCAGGCGAGCACAAGCCACTGAGACTTCAAACTCCAAAACCCCAGATGCAAGCGTGGCCGTGCCTTGCGACAGCGCAGCTACAGTGCCGGTGCCACAGTGTTGGCCAGCAGTGAGCAGAGCTCGTGAGGATACAGCTGCGCCATGGCCGTGCGCCAAACTCCTTTGGCGTCTTTTCCCTCCAGGATCGTGTGCGAGAGGCCTGAGCGCGAGCAGACGGACTTGGAGGGTCGGCACCGCGGCAGAGCAAGCGGTGGCCAGCTCACAAAAAGGATTTTGGTGGCCTTCTTCCAAGGCGTCCCAAATTGGCAAAAGTCTGTTACCTGCATGTTGGCCGTTGGCAGAAGCGACAACGACCTGACTTCTTTGGTGAGCCAGACGCGGCTCGTGGCTGGATTCTCAAGGGCACAGGGGCAGCCACACTCAGCTGCCAGCTTAATTTTTTTAGCCATTTGCCTCAAAAGTAAATTATGCAAACGCATTTTGCCTGCATCACCGGGCGAGAGATCGGGCAGCCCGTACAAGTGGGCATCATCATCTCTAAGCGGGCCTGGCCCTCGCCCGTCCCAGCGCCTGGCTCTGGACCACGTCTGACAAGGAAGACCGAACCAGACGAAAACGATGACGCGATCCACAATATCTTTCTCCAGCTTGCGTAGAGACTCAATCCTCAGAAAGTCAGCCGCCTCGCCTTGCTCGATGTCCCAGGCCTCTGCTGGGATGCCGGCGCTGGCGAGAGCTTGCGAGAGCCTCCCGCAGCCTGAGAAGACCTCGACGGCCCGGCTCCCCTAGACGAGGCGGCGGCCCGTGGGAACAAAGAGGCGTGGAATGCGTCCTTCAACTTGTCTAAAGCCAGGGCGCCTTTCTTGTTCGTGTCGTCCGAGACCTTTGCCTGTTGTTGGAGGAGGCGTCCGTGGGCCTCGTACCTCCTCACCGTGCGATCGGAGAGCCACCGACCCCTTGCCTTGACGCTTGCCAACGACCTTCTCTTGAACAGGATGTCGTGGCTGGGGCCGGAGTGCCTCATGTGATACGCGGTGATCTTGAGCTTCTCCAGACCGACCTTCTTGGCCGCTCCCACCATGGCCTGGCCGAGGAGCGGGTACTTGAAGTCGAAGAACAGCCTGTCTGGCTGCCCCTTCCTGAGTCCTGCCAGCAGGTCTCCCAGCCATGGGAGGTCGGCCGAGTCCAGCACCAGGCTCTCCTCGAAGAGGTTGACCTTGGAGGGGTGCTGATCCAGCTCCTCGTGCATGCGCAGGCTCCACAGGGCAGCAGCCGAAGTGCGCGGCGGGGAGACAAGGGCCTTCTCCTTCAACCTCATGGCCTCCCCTGGCCGCAGGTATGCGACCCACATCGTGACCAACGCCAGGGCCATGAGAGGGGACCCCATGTGGATCAACTCGAGCCACAGCAGCGCGAGCAGGTGCAGCGGGATCGGCGGCCTGGTCCTGCCAGGCTCGAGCCTCCTCCAGCCCCGGAGGGCCTTGCGGGCCCTCGGGAGGACATGCCTCCCGGCCTTCGAGTAGTCGGGGTAGAAGTACATGTAGGCAGCCAGCACCTTCGTTCCCTCCGAGACGTCGTGCCCCGTCGTCCACATGTGGTTGATGTAGTCCGTGAGCACGAGGTCGGGCTGCCTCTCCAGCTTGGTCGACAGCCTGTTCTGGGCGATCCACTCCTGGAAATCCGAGTGGCGCTGATCGTAGTCCTTGTACGTCTTGGTGCTCACCGAACTGGACTCGAGGAAGGTGCCCCGCCCCTCCACGGCCTTGGCCCGAGCGCTGCCCGCCAGAGAAGCGCGGGAGGCTGCCCGGGCCTCTCTCGTGGCGTCCCCAGAGGCGAGCGTCGTCCTCTTCGTCCAGCTCCAGCCACTCCGCGAGCGAGATGGTGGCCCCTGCGCCGGGCGGAGGGTCCGCTGCACAGGCGGAGCGCCGGCGCGGCTCCCAGAGGCGGGAGCCCTCGTCGGCATGGTTGCTCTCTGAGGGGATCCAGCGGCACACGTAACGCGACCCCGAAGCCACTGAAAAGGCTGCGGTCTTGCGGCATGACTTGTTGAGAGAGAACGACGACGATCTCCATGGCCAGCACAGTGCCCAGGTTGTCCCCTAGTAGGAGGTGTCGCCTTCGAAACCCATAGAGGCCCCTCGTAGTATGACGAACCCCAGAGGCCATACCGACACTCTCTAGTACTGAGATAGGGCCATCACGACCACGGAACCTTGAGGCAGACTGTAGCTTCCAGTCTTCCTTCCTGAGGTATCCCGGGTCGATCTCGGCGAAATCGGGGTTCGGCTCGTACGTCGAAATCGTCTTCGGCTCGGTAATGGTCTTTACGGTGTTGATGTCGCTGAACGGGTCGCCGAAAGCAGGCAGGGCAGCATCGCGAGGTGCAGTCGCAGACGGCAGACGGCTCCGATACCTCCACTTCTCCCGGACGGACCCGTAATCCTTGATGACCTCCTGGGGCCAGCGCGTAGCGGCAACGGCAAACCCCGAAAGACACGCATCGGTAGCGAGGACCCTCTCCGACCACTCCAGGCAGAGATCCGACATGGTGACCTGGATGAGATACGACACCTGACGAGCCTCGTGAGCGGCCTCAGCCCAGAGACGACCTTTGGACGCCCGAATTGTCAGGGGTAACTCGGGTCAGGGGTAACTCGGGTTTGGGTTCCCGAAAAACGAACCCGAGTTAGCCCTGGCCTGAGTTACCCCCGATGATTTGGGGGCTCTGGACGCCCGAATTATCCGGGGTAACTCGGGTCCGGGATAACTCGGGTTCGGAATCCCGAAAAAGGAACCCGAGTTAACCCTGGCCCGAGTTGCCCCTGATGATTCGGGGTCTGAGACCTGGAGCAGCCCCCAACTTAGCAGCGAAGTCATACATGCGCCTAAATACCGAGAGCCCAGGGCGGAAGATGAGGAAGGCGGCGATGCAATGACCGATGAACCGACTCAACGCCAAACCTGTGATCCGAGGCCTTCTCGACAGAGCACGGGCGGCGGCAGCAATTCGCTCCCTGCGCATCGGATCGACCCAGACCTTCATAGCCTCCCCGTCGATGTAGTATCCCAGAGCGGTGAACTGCCTAACGGGACCGAGAACCTCGTGGACGACAAAGCCTGACTTGACGAGCTGGACAATGACGGCATCCCGAGTCTCCCTAGCCATCTTGGGGCTCGTCGCAAGAACCATCAAGTTGTCGCAATACACATTCAGAACTGGGAGATCCGAGCGCCATTCAGGAACAGGGGCCCCCTCCTCCATGAGTCTCGAGGGCGCCCATGGCAACGCAAGACAGATCTGATGTATGTGCACGCGCTGCGCCAGCCACATCGCCCAGGTCCAGCCCATCGGCGCGGAGCGAAGGCGAGGTCTGACCTCTAAAAGGCCATGGAGTGTCCCGCCCAAGTCAGCGGGGACACCCCACTCGAGCAACAGAGCGCCTGGCACAGGCGGCAGCGCAAAGAAGGGCCGCAGGTCAGGCGGCATGGCGAGCCAGAAGAAGTAGTCCGCGATGTCGGAGCCGGCACCCCACATGCCATGCTCCTGCAGCTCCGGCGGGACCTGCAAACCTGCGAACGCCGAGCCACTCGCCATGCGGATCTTGGGCGGACTGCGCCAGCGGATGTTGGCCACCCAGCAGTCCCACGCGAGCCGCTGCTTGCCCGACTTCTTGCGTACGAAGAACGGGTACACGGTCCCGAACGCGCCCGTCCCGAAATCCACAATATTGGACTCGAATAGGTCGCGGACGAACTGGTAGCATAGCACCCTGTCCCTCTTGAGCCTCACGTCCATGTAGGGCTTAATGTGTGCCTGCTGGTCCATGATGGCTCCCATCTCGACGGGCGAGCGGAGCATCGCGGTGGTGAAGCCGTCGACTACGCCTCTGCCGGAGTCGTCGATGACATCTGTTAGCCACGGAGGCGAGGCCCCCGCTGCTGGCATCGAGACCCGGCCTCGATCATACGGCTCCACGCTGCAACTGGAATCCCCCCCAGCATAGGAGAACTCCGATCCACAAAGCGCCTGGAGGGCTTCACGGTCTTTGTACAAGGATGTGCAAGTAGGCCTTGCCGCCAACGTAGACAAAACTTGGCCATGGGTAGCGCGATGAGCAGCCGTGGGCCTGAAGGAAGAGATGGCGGCCGGAGAAGCTAAAACATTGAGCGTCTCAACGACCCCGTTGGCGAGCAGCTGCCTCGAACGTCTCCTCGACATACGCTTGAAGACGGTGGCAGAAAGCCCGGGATCAGGGCGCTCATCAACATCGACGGCTGGCAGAGGAAACAAATCACGCTGACGACTCGCCTCAACATGCCGATCAAAATCTGCCGTTGCTCGGTCCTCTGGCACAGCACCGCGGGTGGACCAGGCCCGCGCGCCGGAAGGCAGCATGGTCATCCGCCCCCCTCCCCGTCGGCCGGGGCGAGCCCTGCTTTGCCTCCTCTGCCTCCACCGCCCTTGCCTCCTTTGCCTCCGCCTCCACGTCCGCGACGTTCCTCCGCAGCCTTCCGCGACTCCTTGAGGATGGCGGCCTCGTCCCTGAACTTGGTAGCCACATGGGCGGCCAACTCCGGCGCAACAGACGCGGAGGCGGCGGCCGGCCCCCAGCCCATGAAGTGGTCTGCGCCAGAGAAGTCCGGCGCGGAGGCGGAGTGCGCGTAGGCCGACTTGATGAGCTGGAGCCTCCTGATGAAGAGCTCCATCGACTTCAAAGCCGGCACATTCAGCTGGTCGTGGCACACCGCGGCGGAGAGCACCTGCGACAGAACGAAGTGCTCGTGGATGGCGCGGTCGCCATCGTGCAGCCTGGCCTTGCGCAGCCAAGCCTCATGGGCCGCCCGGGGCGTCGGTCCGTTCTCTGCGACGTGCCGGCAGAACCAGGAAGCCGCACGCGGGCCATGCAGGTCCAGTCCTCCCGCGGGCAGCGTGTCATCCTGCCGCTGCACCCCCTCGCTGAAAGTGACCCTGCGCGCTCCACTCGAGTCGAACTGCACGGGCTGCACACGCAGGTCATCGTAGGTGAAGCGATACACCTCGGGGCGTGTCATCTGCCGCAGCGCGACGAAGCCCCCCTTCCATGGCATGATGGCCCTGTCGCCCGCAGAGATAGTGTCAACCGTGATCTCGACCTCAGTGCCCTTCGCCAAGTCCTCAGCGTCCTCAGCAGCCACCCGCACAAGGTCTGCTCGAAGAGCCGGCACGGCGACGCCCGCCGCCTGGACCCCCTGCCCGGGGGTCCGGGGGTCAGTCAGCCCCTGTGGGAGAGGAGGCCCTGCTCGAGGCACCAGGTCTTCTCCTCCCACTCGGCGAACCCGTGGTATCTCGCCAGGAGCCGCGAGCCCGAGGGCCAACGCCGCATCGAGGACCTGCTGACGCAAATCATCCACGGTCGGCACGTCCCTGAATCGGTAGATGGGTGCACCCTGCAGCGCAGGCGGAGTATCCCCGAGACCGGCAGCACCACGGATCCTGTCGACGCCATCGGAGGCGGGCGAGCAATCCTCTATGTACGCATCCCCGTCGGGGGTCAACATATAATAGTGCCCCGCCTCGGTAGGATGGACCGCCAACACTATTCTCTCATGCCAGAGGTCGGGGCCCGGCACATTGTACTTGACCAGCAGCACATCACCGACTCTCGCCATGACGCCGAGTCTTGATCAGCGCGAGCTGCTTCTGAGCAAGGTCCTGAAGACTTCCCTCTGCCTCTGAGGGCTGAGTAGCCTGGGCCGAAGGCTCGACCTGAGAGGTACGCCTCCTGGCACACACCCACGTTGGCATGGCAACCAGCGCCCCGCACAGCCAGCCCGTCACGAAGAGGGTGAGCCCGGCAAGCAGGTAAGCCAGGTGCCCGACGATGCCCTTGCCCTCTGACAAGCACTCAACGTGGATCGGCGGGACGTGAACCTCTGGGCAGCGTAGCTCGACCTGCGTCGGCGGCGGCGCTGGACAGGAGAGATTGACCACAGCATCGTGCCGCGCGCAGACCGCGGCGGAGATGGCAGACTGAAGAGACAAGTCTATCAGTCGGGGAAGGTAGGTGGAAAGCGACTCCCACATGCAGGGAGAAAAGACTAGAACCAAAAAGGCTACACTACAGAGCAATATAGAATGCGGACTCAACTGGGAGCAAGCTCTGGAGATGATGTGATGAGCGTTCATGTGCTGCGGCGGCCACGCAGCTGGGTACACCGCTGTCTCTGGCGGCCTCGGAGCCGGGCCCGCCGTTGTCCCTGGCGCACACATCCAGCGCCTGGGAAAAGTATGCAGGTGCCCCCGCGCCTGACGACAGAACCTCGGTGTCCGGCCTGCCTGGGCACGCACGAGTGGCCGTGGCGCGCGCCTGCCCCCGTCACTCATTTTCAAACGATGAGGGCGCCCAGATGCCTGCGACATGCGCCGCTGAACTACTGCTCGAAGTGAAACATCAAACTTCTCAGCGCTGTCATCTGCTCCAGCAGGTGCCCCTGCATTCGCTCCAGCAGGTGTCTCTGCAGCGTCGTCGGGCGGCATCCACTTGCCGCCCTCCTCGCACATGGCCTGATAGACCTTCGCCTGCAAATTGCGCAGGGCGAAATCCTGGTCAGCCGGCGTGGGAACATTCCCATCGGTCGCGCTGTTCACCAGAGACTGGATCGCGTAGGCAAATGTCTCCTCGTTGATGGGGAAGCAGATGCCCTTGGTGTTCTGAGACATCATGCACGCACGGACATCGCCGGTAGCGGGCGCCCCCGCGCTGCTCGATGCAGGTTGCCCTGCTGTTGGCTCTGCGTCGGACGCCTCCTCGACGAGCAGAGGCGTATCTTCGCAGCGAGGATTGGCTGTTACGATAAATGCTATTGAGCCATTATCCTCCGTTGCGACCCCGCACTCGTCGACCTTGACCGCCAGGTGCCCTGAAGGCGTCTGCATCAGATCGAGCACTCTGGCGCCCTTGCCGAGGGGGGGCCTATGCATCTCTGAGCCTGGAATGATCATCTTCTCGCGTCCCTGCTCCAGGACCAGGGTAATCTTCAAGCTGGACATGCTCCTTAGACCCAGGATAGCAAGAATATTCTCGCCGGGACCTTCAGCTACGTTGGCCGAGTAGGTGTCAAGCCTGGCCATAGCGGGTTCCCCCGCAGGACCGCCTCTCTCCTTGCATGCGATTTTGCGATGCAATGACTCGTCGCAGATGGCAGCGCCATGCCCCGCACCAGACACGTACAACCTCTTCGTCAAGCTCAGCCTCTCAATGTCATGCCCATGGGAGCGTGACGCACGCTCGAATGTCTGTGCAGTCTTTAGACCAATGATATTGATGTTGCTGTCGATGTCCAGTAGAATAGTCAGCATACCATCTACCATGGTCCCACTGTTCGCTGCCAGGGCCAGCTCATGGCAATCTCCGAGTATCCCTGGCACGCCGGACAGCGTCGTGCCACGCATGCCCATGCGGCGACTCTGTTCCCTGTCAAGGACGTGAAGAAGTTCATGTACCCTCGTGCCTCTTCTTCTGTGCTGGGCTGTCTCTGGAAGATCGAGACCGATGGGTGCTCGTCGTACATGTGGGGATGTCGTGGAGAGAGCGGCGTACTCTCGAAGGCCTCTTCGTCGGCACGCAAAGCACTATGCCCATCTCTTGACCAGCAGCACCGCATGCAGCATATCGCGCTCTGATGCGGCGCTGGCGCCGCTGCGCACGCTCACCGGGCTTTCAATTCTACGCTGGCGTAGCGGATGCCCATGGGGCATGCTGCTGCATGCTGCTTGGAGCCACTGCGAGCTCCTTTCAGTGGCCCTTTCCGTGCGCCTCAGCCACTGATCATTGGCATGAAACCCCGTTGGTGCTGCTGCGGCAGGTGTCCCCGCATTATCTGATCATTCGGCTACCAGAAGCATAGGCGCATCTGTGGTGGGCGTTGTAGCTGTTGGAGCCTGCACCATATTGGAGGATAAAGCAGGTTACCCCGCAGATGCGGTTGGTGCCACGGCGGCAACGGCAGTGCCTGACATCATCGCCGCGATGAGGGCTGAGCTCTTCACGAAGATCCCTGAGCTCATTTGCCCCGCGGAGTATTTCTTCATGACGACTCGCTGCATTATGATCTCCAGCTAGGGCATAATTAACGAAACACAGTTGTGATGAGGCCTACGCCCCGGCAAACGGCACAGGGTGCCTCACTTGCGGCACCTTCCAGCGCGCCTGCCAGCTGAAGGCCCACATGTGCGTGAGCAACTCGATCCCACAATTGCGCGTGGAATATGTGGCCACACTGAAGCGTCCACACCTTATCGTTGTGTGCGAAGTTACCCAGGCAAATGGCACATTTGGTAAACAAGAAAACACCATCACTGATGATAGGTGGCCTGGCCGATGGCCTGATACGCGTCTGTCGCTCGAGCGTGGATTCTCGAATCTCGCATTGAATCGGTGGGTCCGTTATCTGCTGCGCTGCAGGAAGTGATCCCACGGCTGCGCTTGCTGCCAAGCTTGCAGCGGGTTGCCCCGCAGGAACAGGAGCAGCGGGTGTCCCCGCGCGGCCCATCATACGGCGCAACCGTCGCTCCTGATTGCGGCGTTGGCGAGCCAATTGCATAGTGAGATTGGGCTGCTGCACCTCGTGGATGGCCAGAATCTCGGGACGCAGCTCTCCCGTGGACGATGGTGCCACTAGCCCAGGGCCATGATGCGTGACATCGGGGTCCATGGAAGCCGCCAAGTATGCATAGTGAGGCACTTAGCCTGGCACACCCGGCTTGTACCCAGCACCGCGCGTCAGCTGGGATTGGTAAAAGTCGTCAGCTGTTGCCCGAACGCACGGGGTGTCCGGCTGAGTGCCAACGCGTGGAACGCCCGTCTCCTGAGCGTAATAATCAGAAAACATCGGTGCTTCCATAGGTGGAGCAGTTGGTCTTTCAGCAGCCATTGGGTCGTACGTTGGGTGGCTGAAGAATGCTGGAACGTACCCAAATCGGTTGGGATGATCCGGTGATGGGCTCGGATCTGGAATATAATCCCATGGGGGTGTCCAGCTAGCGCGCGGGAGGTAAACGCCATCCCGACGCATACTCAGCTTGGCCTCGCGCATCTGCCTGCGCATCCACTGCTGCTGACCTGCGAAGCTCTCGGCCCTCTGGGCGGCTCCATGGTCGGAAATAGCGGGTTCCCCTGCAATGGACGCGGCGATGCAAATTGCGATGCTGCTTGTATGGCCTGATAGAGCTGAGGGTCCATTCTGATGCTCTGGAGCATGGCCTGCAGACTATTGCTACTCCCAGCACTCTGTGGACTTCCAAATGGAGTCGTAGCCCTACTCATGGGTGCGAATGGCGCAAATTGCCCTGCAGGTGCTGGCATCGGCTGCGCCTTCGCGCGCCACGGGTCGTTCGTACACAGCCCGTCGTTGGGCGTGATCCCGTTGGACATCATGCCAGACGAGTCCGCGCTCTGGGCCTGGGTCCATGACCCATCCGAGCACCCCGCAGGTGCCCGCGCTTGGTGCGCCTCGTGCAGCGTGAAGACAGCGGCGCGTTCGACCCCGTGCATAGGTGTCGACGCAGGGGCCTTCAGGTTGTACGGAGTCTGCGGTGTCATATATTTTTAACGCGGATGCACCATAAGGACCCTGCTAGTAGGACTGTGCAAGATATGTGTTAGCATGCAGGTTGCCCCGCTGGTTATCCTCGATGGATGGAGGATTAAGCCACGCCTGTCCAACTCGATCATGCCTACACTGAATAGCGTTAAGCGGGATGCCAATGTGCTGAACAATGTGGCTTGGCGGGATCATGCCATGGCGGCCTGGCGTCATAATAATATCGTTGGAAGAACGCCAAATTGGGATATTGTCGCGAGGTAAATTCTTGAAGCTCACCATTATCAGCACTGCGGAATCTATGCGCAGGCCTGACTGGATCCGGTTGTCTCCAGGCAAATCTGGGCATCCGTGAATAAATGGCCTGCCCCTCCCATTTGAAGTGCCCCCACCGCGGCATGACAGACCAATGAAGCATGTTCGGGATGTTCACCCATTTTGCGCCGTGTGCAAAATAGCAGGGTGCTCCCGGTGCTGTGTCAGGTCTGGTTTCCGCACGTATAGGGACTCTGGACATTTGGTGCCTGCGCCGCTATGCCCATTGCTAAGACGCAACAAGTATGTCGGATGAGACTCCCCAGTGAAGATGAGCTTCTTTACCCGGGGCCTGTGCTTCTGCATGCCCGAAGAGTCGACCATTTCGCTGAGCTCCAGTACCGCCAGTGCCTGATAGGCTCAACGGCGGCCACGAAGGAACCTTTTAACGGCTTCCAGGTGGCTAGCATGCCAACCCTCCTTGTCTGTGGGCGGCGCATTGTTCTGTGAATATTTAAGCTCTACCCAGCCGTCGCACTCGTCGTACGAGGTGACGGCTGCGACAAACCAGTCGGGAAGCTTGTCGTGATAGAATGGCTCGTGCCTCGCGGCAGTAGTGAGCCATTCCGAGCATCCACGCTCGCCGCGACCTTTCAATAGCGATGCGCTGATATTATCGCCCCTAAGAAACTCCTTCAGATACTTCTTCTGGGATTGATAACTGAGGGCAGGTTCCCTCCGCAAAACGTTGCGGACACGCTGGCGCGCGAGGGATATCGTCCCAAGCGCGCGGCAGAACATTCGATGTCGCA